TTTTGGCTTTTTTTGAGACAGGGTCTCACTATGTAGTTGAGGCTGACCTGGAACTCACTATGTAGCCCAGGCTGGTCTTCAATTTGCAGTGATCCTCCTGCCTCAGCCTCCCAAGTGCAGGGATTACAGGCATGCGCCACCACGCCTGGCCCCATGTGGCATCTTATACATTATGCATTAAGTGAAATTTGAGTGGTGGTGTCCCTTTCACTTAATGTACTGTAGAGACTTTGTGGAGAAGATGGATGAAAATGAATGTATAGTCAAGACAGTAGATTTTTAAAACGAATTTACTGAAATGTAGCACACATAGAAAAGTGTATCAGCCATAAATATATAGGTTGTATTTTCACAAAGTAGCACACTTGTGAAACCAGCATACAGATTAAGAGTAAGAGAATGACCAGCACCCCAGTAGCTCCTTCTGTTCCGTATAGTCAGTACTCCCCTCTAAGAGTGACACCTATCCTAACTTTTTCCTTAGGCTTAATAAATGATAGACTTTACATCAGTTTTTTTTTTTAATCTCAAAGTTGGTTTGTGAGATGTATTCGTGGTGTGTAGATTGTTAATTGCAGACATGTAGTTGTAGGTTGTTAATTTTTATTGTGTAGCATTCTGTTATGTAACTATATTTTTGCACTGTACAGTTGATGGACATTTGAGTAGTTTCTAGTTTGAGGTATGAAAAATAATGCCATTAGAAATATTTTTGCATGTAGCTCTGGTGAACTTGTACATACATCTCTGTTGGGTATATACCTAGGAACTAAATTGCAGGGGTAATTAGAAAGTCTTGTTATTTGCTTGTCTGCTTATTTTAAATTGCTAGTGTAATGGTGAGATGCGTTCAGTACTTATTATGAAATGGATTATGCAAAAGAAAATGGACAACTGAAGTAATGGAATTCTATGGGTTTGAGCCCTTATACAAGTAAATACATATCTTCTTGTGAAAAATCAATTATATTTTATGGCTCAAAGTCCCAAGATTATACTGGACAGAACTAGGTAATACATTTGCGTCTAACTGGTTTACAAGGGACCTTTCTTACTAGAAACATAAAGAGGAAAATACCCTTCTACTAATGCAAAGATCAACCTCTGGAACTTACCACCATGTACATTGCTACAATGGTGAAGAAAAAAAGAGTGAAGCCTTTCCAGTGGACTCATATTCCTTGTGATAGACCTGGGAGAATCCTGCTCTGGGTAACTAGTGATTATGAATAGCAAGTCTCCACTTATACAGGAAAGCGCGGTGTAAGGGACATTGAGACATAACACAATTAATGAAAGTAAATATATCTGGGGTGTTACTGCAAATCATCTATGCCTTCAGTGCCAAGGATTAAACAGACAGTTATGATTTTTTCCAGTCTGTCACCTTCAAAACAACCAGCAGAAATCTTGCCCGAGCCATGTGTATGAAGAACATCAAGCTCACCATCATCATCATCATTGTATCAATTGTGAGTTTAGTTTTTGTCCTTTTAGTATCTGATTTTATTTTTCAGTTTCTAAGAAATTAGGTACTGGGATTCTTTCTCAGTGATTAGCTTTCTGAAATGAGCTCTATATATCTTTTAGTGATGGAACTAAAGACCAGAAAGTGGGTTTCCAAATTCATGGTGAAGTTACTATGAAATATCATCTCCACTTAAAACTTTTCTTCCTGGTTGAGAATTCCTATATATTTTAAACTCCCAGAAACATGGCTATACTGTAGTTATTATATTTCTTTGAGTTGAATTCTTCCTGTTATTCAGGCTTATTTCAAATTCCTTGGCTCAAGTGATCTTCCTGCTTTAGCCTCCCAAGTGCTGGTACCACAGATACACAATACCATGCCTGGCTAATATCATTATTTATAATACAAATATTAGTTCTGTTTATATGTAAGGAGTTTATTATCATTATGTTAAAATTATACATTTTAAAATATTAATATATCATATGATAAATTTATCATATAATTCCCCTAAAAAAGAATCATTTGGAGTCCTCAGTAATTTTTATGTAAAGAGGGATTGGGGGATTTGCCTCAGTGGTAGAGCACTTGTCTAGCATATGTGAAGCCCTGGGTTTTATCTTGAGCATGACAAGACTTCCCCCCAAAAAATTGAAAATTAAAAAAATAAAGAGATCTGAATCAAAAATATGAGAACCACTGCTAAAGATGTGGAAAGGCATAAGGATTTGAGCTGTATTATTTCATGTCAGGGAAAAACTGCCTTTCTGCCCCCTCTTTCAGTCATTTGCAGAATCCCAAAGTTACCTCTAAGCAATACTTTTTGAGGCTTCTGTACCTTAGATAGTTGGACCTACCTAAGAAAAAAGAGGTGACTGCAGTGGTCTCTCTTAGCTCACAGTCCTCAGGTGGCACATTCTAAGCTCCTAGGTTCTCCTTAATCTTTGGTCTGTGATGTTTTAGATTGATTTATGCAGCTAAATTATCAAGTTCAGATTATATATATATTGATTACATATTATGTGCAAAACAGTGTTCTAAATGTATTACTAATCTTTGCTAAAAAAGTGTTGGCACCTCAGGTTGACAAATCCTTATACTGGTGGCTAATAGTCTACTTAATATCAAGTTAGTAAACTTTAAAGTTGTGGAATATGCATGTGGGTTTGTGCAAATGCCGTATGGATGGTTTGAACTATTCATTAATAACCACCCTCTCCACAGCAACTTTGATGAGAAAGCACAATGTCCTGCTCAGTTTTAGGGCATGAGACATGTTATTCCTGAACACATTTTCCCCCTAGCTTTTGAGTAATAAAATCAATCACTTAAAGATCTCAAATAGTTATAAAACAAGATGGCCAACTTAATCTAGTGAACCTAACGAATAAAATAAATCTGCATTTTAAATGTGATAAAGTAGACATTATTTTTAAAGTCTCATCATTTAAAATTACAATACTAGAAATAAAAAACCTATACTAGAACTAGCATTTTTGTACTTTCCCATCAGCAGCTTTTCTTTGGTTTGGTAATCATACTTATTGTGTGATTTTCCACTGAACACTATACAGCAACAATCCTGCTCATAGTTTGTATAGGTGTACGGTCTCTTCATGTATTCTTACCATTCTAATAATGAAAAATCAAATATATGTAAAAAATTAAAATAATAGTAAAATCACACTTCAAGGAAATTGTGTTTATTTGTAATTTTTATGACATGTCAATGATGCATCAGCAAGAGTTTCTCATGTAGCCTTGATTCTGCCTAGTTATCTGTGAAGATCAGCAACCCCATTGTTTTTCTCCTGGGCACAAGAAATCACAGTGGAATTTAAGTCCATGAGAATTATATCGGAAAGGATAATTTTAATTTTACTTCTGTCTTAATTTTCTTCATGTCTTTGAAAATGCTTGATTAGTTTGTTATATTAGTGATGAATTGCTAGTCTAATGGAACCAGAAGTGTTTCTTTAATAGGGCTTTAGGAGCATATGATAAACTCAAGAAAATAAAATTGCCTTCTTTCTCTTTACAGGTGTTCATCTACATTATTGTATCATCGCTCTGTGGTGGATTTACTTGGCCAAGCTGTGTAAAAAAATAAGAAAGAAAAAATTATCATTAACCAAATATATGGGAGACAAAGAAATTAAAAACAATCCATGTGACTCAAGCCTTTCACTATTCAGAAAATTGTCTGCCAGTCTCTTCAACCCTCTTTCACTTTTTCTTGTTTCAATCTTGTTGTATGTCTTGAAGATTTCTCTTTGTTGCTATCAGCCAGTTTATCCCACTGAACTGCAGAGTGAACCATTTATTATAGCAGTAGCCTGAAAGGGCTTTTGTTTGTTTGTTTGGTTTGTTAACTAGTGTCATCTACTTTGAGAAACATTTTTGTTTTCAGTTGCACAAAGCTGTTGCCAAGTTGGAAACTAACAGTCTTACAAGCTGTCTACTAAAATTGTATAGAATCTTTGTATATGCACACAAAAATATTAAAGGAACAAATAGAATTGCTAATATCTCATCTTAATGGCTTTTGTTATTGAAGTTTTAGGTGCTTCAAAACAGTGTAAATGGAGAATATTGTTATTTTGGGAATTGTAATTAAATTGTTGGTGCTGCTTATTTCCAGGAGCCCAAACAGGTAAAGTACTAAATTTTTTTATTTCAACCAGATGGGGAATATTTTGCTAGTCTGTTAGGAGCACACAGTATCATCCTTTGTCTCCTAGTATTCACTTTTGGGAATAAACTTTAGTGTGCTAATCATTGACAATATAGTGGATGCTTGATATTTTGTTTCCTTATCAAATGATCTGAGATGATGGTTTAAATATTGTTGAAGATTGTGGTTTTTAATATATTCCTTTTTGTTCTGTGGGTATTTAGGGCAATTGTATTGTTAAAGAGTGTGTAATGGAGGGGTTGGGAGGCAAACACCTCTGAATCACCAAAGAAAAAGGAGGGGACCACAGTGGATGTGCTAACATTTTAGCTGTATAAAGGGAGATTGTGTGGGAATTTTTTTCCATTCTGGGAAAAGCCCAAACTGAGTATAGTCAGCAGTCAACTCCAGAGTTTGGATTTGACTCCTGTTGAATAATAGTTTGAGCATCCTTTATTGTTTAATAAGTTCTTTACTTAATTGTGAAGTTTTCATGAAGTCTGAGAGAATATGTAGAAACAATATAAAAGAATTTAATGTCAGTTTTACTGCAGCGTAAGAAAATTGGACTGTGATACTGCTTCAGCTACTTAGCATTTATCTGGTAGTCATCATGTGTCTGAAAGATGTTCGCTGCCATAGAATAATTGCATTTATTTATTAATAAGTGCAATTAAACGGACATTTTCTTCTTTTCCTAATGAAAGAACAAATTATTGCATAGAATCTAGCCACCTGTTTAGCTTCATCATGTGCCTTCAATATGTATGTGTCCCATAATGTGGCTTTTGGTACCTGTTCTTCCAACTAAATCATTTAATTGATGCTACTGGATTCACATTGACATGTACCTTAGGTCCACTGGAATTTCCCTTGCTGATCATGCATAGCACAAATGTTTTACCAGTTGTTTTTATCAACAGTAATTCATTTTAATTATATCAGCATTTCCTTTTGAAAAATAGACATTTGTCAGGCCAGAGATTTACTATGCTTGATCTTAGCCAAAAGGCCGAGAAGCGATAGGGCTGGAGATTTACCTTGGTGGCACCACGCCTTCCTGGCAAGCATGAGGCCCTGAGTTCGATCCCTGAAAAAAAAAAAAAAAAAAGGAAAAGAAAGAATGAAAAAGAAAAATACATTTTTCCTAGAAAAATATTTGGCATCCTAAATAATAATTTCCAAATATTTTTATTCCAAAGTAAAAGTTTTAAAATTTATTTATCTTTCTTATACACACTTGAATAATATTGACATGCATGTTTTAGGGATGAATTACTTAACTGTCCTTGGCCTGTTTATGTATAACAATGCTTTTAAAACACATGTCTGATTGTAAATGATGCATAAACTTAAGATATTAATAAAGTTTAAGAATATCGTTAAGTTCCTTGTTTTAGAAATTCTTCCTGGAGTCTATTATCTTATGATGACATTTACCATAGTATACATATACTATGTATACTATGTATATATACTATGTATATGTGTGTGTGTATATATATATGTTTAGTGTACATATATAGTATACATATTCATAGTATACAGCAAAACATCTGTAGATATCCAGATATCTCAGTGGGCCTAGGGACCTCTCATTCTTCCCCAAAAGGTCTCTGTTCTGACTGTGTCTAGGTAGGAAACTCCACAGTTGGGACTTGGAGCCTTCTTCAAAAATGGGAAAACTACATTGCCCAAGGATTCAAGTAAGTGAGGCACTAGGGAACACAGAGAAGTGCTGAGCATTCCAAGGGCCTTCCAGGAGGTGGCAAGTTCCCCCAGGCTTGAATGTGGGGTACACCTTAGGAACAGCAATTTTAGCACCTGCTCTGTAGAGTCAAACCTTTTGTAGGTGTTAGGAATCTGGACATGGAGAATGGGTCCTTTCTTCAATAGGAAGGCACAAGGTAGTTCACCAGCTTCCTCAGTGTTCCTGCCTTGATGCTTCCCACCCTGCTGATCTCATCTGGGTTTGGGACTGACTCATTTGCACCCTGGGCTGGAACCAAGGAGGGAGAGTTCAAGCGTAGAAATAGTAACAAATTGAGGGAAAAAAAGGCTCACTAAGCAAGAGAAACAGCATGGAAAGACATCTCTTTAGCTCTCACATGCATGCACATACAGACACACATGTACACTCACATACACAACCCAAAGGGGTCTGAGGCCACCCAAGGCAATCATAGTGGTGGGCTGGCCTGCTCTGACCTGCCCTGGGCTGCCCTGTGTCACCTTTTGGATCCTTTGAGGAAGTCACCAGAAGTGCTGGGGGTGATGGCAGACCCAGCTTCTATAGATTTGGACAAGGCCCCTGCTTATTTTTGAGTTTCAGGACAAATGAGCTGGATCCAGTTAGCTACTGGGTTCCAAGTTCTGTTTGGTCGGTTGTCAAGGAAATGAAGTCACCTCCAGGGGGCTCCTCCCAGAGTTGCTTCAGGAAAGGCACCTCAGACAGCTGGCTGCTTCTCAACCTGCTGTGTGAAAAACTGGACACAGTCACATCAACACACCCTGACTCACCATCTGCATGCAGGACAGTACAGCCAGCAGCCTTGGTGGGAAGAGACAGAGCTGGTGTAAGAACCAGGCACTTCTACTTGAGGTTAGGATTTAGGGGCTAGGTAGAGTTAAAGGGTAGAATTAGGGTTAGTGTTAAGTGTTCACGTTAGGATCAGTGTTAGGTCTAGGACTATGGTTATTTCTAGGGTTAATGTTAGGGTAGGGATTTGATATATGGTTGAGTGGTTAGTGTTAGGTGTTAGGGTTTGGGACCTGGATTAAGCATTGGCTTAGAGTTTTGTGTTAGAATCAGGGTTAAGCTTCATGTTATGGCTTAGGCTAGTATTAGGTTTTATTATTAGCTTTACGATAAGAATTTTGGTTAGTAGTTATAGTTTGTGTTAGATCCATCATCAAGTGCATTGATATTTTTTTTCCTCATTGAGTTTATTGGTACATTTTAGGTATACAGTACAGTTACATTCATCATTGAGATCTTGTACCTTTATATGACAGGTCTTGGTTCTCAGTTTTTCCCCTTGTCCCTGCTCTCCCTTCACCCCCTCCTCCCTTCCCTATTTATAAATACTGTATTTCCATTTTTTTTCATTTTCTCATGTTTTTTTTCCTTTTCCCTTATTACCTTTCCCCTACCCTTCCCACTTCCCCTACACCTTTAGCCCTTTTCTTCCTATTTCACATTGTCAATTATATCATTAGGATCTTACGTAACATTATAGTTTTTCACACCAGAGAAACTATTTGATATTTATACATGTGTGACTTATTTCACTTAGGAGTATATCCTCAATATGTATCTATTTTCCTATGAATGACTCTAATTTCTTATTTTTTATGGCTGAGTAGTATTCCATTTTATAGAAAAACCACATCTTCTTTAGCCAGTCTCCAACTGATGGGCATATGGGCTGTTTCCCAGTTTTAGCTATTACAAACTGTGCTGCTATAAACACAGGTGTGCATATATCACAGTGATATGATTTTTAAAATTATTTTGGAAAGATACCCAGCAGAGGAATGGATGGGTCAAATGGAACCTCTAATCCTATCATTTGAGGTATCTCCATATTGATTTCCATAGTGGTTGCACCAGTCTGCACTCCCCCAACAATGGAGAAGGGTTCCTTTCTCCCCACAGCCCCGCCAACATTTGTTATTGTGTGAATTCTTGATAATAGCCATTCTTTGTGCAGAGAGGTGGAATCTCAGTGTTGTTTTCGTCTGCATCTCTCAAATGACCAGTGATGTGTAACATTTTTTCATATATTTACTTGCTGCTTTTACTTTTGTCTGAGAAATGTCTGTTTGTTTCAGATGCCCATTTTTGAATCAGGTCTTTATATTTGGGGGGGCTGATTTTTTTGAGTTCTTTATATATTCTAGATAATAGTCCTTTGTCTGAGGAGCAGCTGGTAAAATTTTTTTCCACATTGTAGGTTGTCTTTTAGTTCTGTTGATGGTTTCTTTTTCAGTGCAGAAGCTTTTTAATAAGATGAGATCCCAGTTGTTGATTGTTTCTGCTAGTTTCCATGCTACTGCGGATTTGTTCATAAAGTCTTTTCCTATGCCAATGTCTTCAAGAGTTCTGCCTAACTTATCTTCCAGCAAATTTAGTGACTCTTTTTTAATATTTAGATATTTAATCCACTTGGATTTTAGTTTAGTGCATGGTGAAAGATAAGGGTCTAGTTTTAATCTTTGGCAGGTTGAAATACAGTTTTTCCAACACCACTTATTAAAGAGGCTATCTTTCCTCCGGTGAGGATGGTAGGCTCCTTTGTCAAAGATGAGGTAGCTGAGTACATCTGGAGTTGTTTTTGTATCTTCCAGTCTGTTCCAGTGATCCTCAGGTCTGCTTCTTTGCCAGTACCATGCTGTTTTTATCACAATGGCTTTGTGGTATAGTTTCAAATTGGGAATTGTTATACCCGCTGCCGTGTCTCTGTAGTCTAGGATAAACCCATTGATAATTAAATACTTAGGATTGTGAGTCAGTTTTGAGACAGGTCAGATTTTGGTTTACCATAATTTTTGTGATGTCTAAAATTTGAATACTCTTTCCTCATGAGTCATAACAATGTCTAAAATCACTCATGGGTTGTGCTGCCATTTTTGTCCCTCTGGTTCCACCCACTTTCTACAGAGCATTGTCATGGGCTTTGCATTTTCCTACCATTTTAACATCCCATGTTTTATAACTAATGTTGATCTAGTCTATCATCATAGTCACAAACTCTTTACAATTTTCATATTTTGGATATTTTGGTAGTAAATATTTTAATGTACCTATCACTACTGAAAGCTGTCAACAGAAAAAAATAAAGATAAGGTTTATGTAGAGTAAGTGGTTCAGTCACCATGAGTCTGTTCAGCTAAGGGAACAGTTTGATAAAGTGACTTTTGAAAACATTCAGCCATGAGTTGAAATAGTATGTCAAATGTGAATTTGACAGTAGTACAAAGTGACTAGCTTTCTGGAAAGGACACCAAGAATAGAGCCATAACATAAGAAAAACTATGGTAAGTTTACATATATGTGTTCTTCAACAGAAAACAAAGAGAACCACTAGGCTTGAATTATATATTAGTTTGTATTATTTAAATTTTGTGTCATGATGCTTTTATCTAAAAAGATTAGGAGTGTCAATTCCTAGTTATTAACAGTTTGAAAATAAGCAGATGTTTGAAAACCTAGAACTATGTCTTCAAACAAAATTTTATCTTAGAATGGTTTTATATTTACACATAAATTATGGGAAAAGTCCCTGGGTTTTTCCTGTAGCCACAACCTAATTTCCTGCCTTGCCAGCATCTATGAGCTACAAGAGATAGATTATTCGTACCTTACATTATGTATCATATGAACAAATTCTGATAGGGTGTTACTCCCTGAAGTCCATGTTTGGTTTAGATTCTCTTGTTTTTACCATTTCTTATTCCAGACCACTTAAGTGGTGATATTTTCTCTTCCTTTCCTTGTTCTGATAACCTTGAAAGTGTAGAGAGTACCTGTCAAGCATTTTGTAGATTGTTCCCATTGAAATTTACTTGCTGTTTTTTTTTTTAAATCATATTTAGCCTAGGCTTTTCAGGTCTCAGAAGCAAGATGAGGTGCCTTTCTGTGGCTTTGTGCCTTCAAGGTGAATTATGTTAATGTTAGTTACAATCACCTGCATGAGGTAATATTTGTAGGTTTTCACTAAAAGCTTCCTTTTCTTACCGGGTCCACACTGTATATATTCTTGGGGAAAGTGTGCAGAGTCCCTCATTTAAGGAATGAAGAGGTAGCTCTTGATGTACAAGTGCCTTCAGAAGTTATTTAAAATTATTCTACATAAAGATTTATGTTTTCCCTCATTATTTGTATATTGAATCATTTATTTATACTACTATGGACACTTGTATTGTTATTTTTACCTTCATTTTTTTGTTATCGAGTTTTATTTTTATGTTAAATTTGTTATTTTTGTAGCCATTGGAAGTTCTTTCCATTGGGATATTTTCCATGGACTCCTGGTTTCCTTTGATACATTTTTATG